GCAAAAATGCAACAATTTGTTCTTGAGTAAGCCTGTCATATCCCGGCTGTGAACCCTAGTTTTGGAGAAGAGAAAACAATGTCACTGAGTCCAAGATAACTCGGGCTCAGAACAGAGTGGTCAGTGTGGGTGGTAACAGATCCACCCTGGGCTTGAACCCTGAGAATAATACAATATGGGGAAAACAAGGAGGGGAATCCCAAACAAAAGGGAGAGTGGGGATTCCAATCTGGTAAAGAGAAATGGAATTCAAATAATAATGAAAAGCTAATTGATGTATTTACAATAACCTGGTAGGATATATACACATACACATGTTCTCCAGTAGACTAATTAGGAACAAAGTATCTAAAATGAAAGCTACATTTATAATAGTCAAAAGATAACAAATGATCCAAAAATGTCTAGCTAAGGAGCAGTGGGCAGTTGCCTCTAAAAGTGTGAGTAAATTGGGGTAAAGCCTTAACAGTGCATTCCTTATGGATACTTTAGTCAGAGCACCTAGATAATGTCTAGCTACAGCATAAATAGGAATAAAGTAACACAGGGGGATAGTTTGCTAAGCAGTGTGCTAAATCTCATCCACTAAGAGGGAAACTGCAAGATAATAGGGGTAGAGGACAAGTGGGTTAAGAGATAGGGATAAACCAGGAGATGATATGAAGAGGAATCTCAAAACAAATTTAAAGTAGCACTACCACTGTATAAATGAAGATTCCTGTTTATCCACCTACTGAGCTAGAACATAGCAGCTCTTAGGATACACTTTTCTGGGTGTTCAGCACTATAGCAGTGAAGTAGAACTTCAGTCTATCTGACTGCATAGTCAACAATCAGCAGCTGCTAGGAAAACACCTTTCTGGGAGTTCTAAGCTACTATAATGAAACAGGACTGCTGTCTATCCAACACCTTAACCTGACAAGCTGCAGGAAACACCTTTGTCGGTGTTCTATGCTAAAATGCTAACCCAAATCTGAAAAACCGTCCCCCCTCAAGTTGTACCTAGACTAAAATATAACAAAAGGTGAAAACATTAAAGCAGTGTAGAGTAGTGCTGTCAAGTTCTCAAATAGTGAGTGATATAATCAACCCGACATGCGTTTCGGTGCTAACAACGGCATCTTCGTGAGGGACTAACCCTCTATCAGAAGATGAAAACCCTAGTTTACTCCTCGACTTGACTTTATAGCAATCTGCATGTAGAATAAAAAAAAAAAGTCTGGATGGTAGCCAGAATAAAGCTGGCTACCATTAAAAGAATTTTAGCAGCAGGAAAGTGAGAACAAAAGAGTAAAATAAAAATGGGAAAGAAAATGCTAAAAGTGCTTAAAATCTACCTGATGTATTATGGACTGTACATGCAATTTGCATCTGCAAGTATTTTACTCATATACAATTTATATGGAATCCCAATCTCTGTGAAAGTTATTTATCTTTTTTACAGGAAAGGAATCTGCAGATTTTTGCTTTGAGCAATTTAAAGGGACACACCACTGTCCATATAAAAATAAATGAAAATAACTGTTTAGTAGATATATTCAAACAAACCAACTAGGGATAATGGAGTTGTGCTGTAAAAACTATTGTATTCATATACAAAAAAAACAAAACATGAACACAGATATTTATTAAGAATAAGCAATATAGAAAGAAACAAAGAAAATAAAACAAAATGAAATGCAATTATCTGGACAGTAAAATCTTAAATCTGGCTAAACAATTAATGACATAAGACTAAACCGGATTTTTGATAGACCAGGTAATATATAACTATCCAAACGCAGGTTTAACAGTCTCTTACCACCTTGTGGTTCTAGTTTTCAGCTCTGTTATAACAAAAGTCCCCCTTGGGTTAGTACATGCTAGATCTATGTCAGTCCTCATATATTAGAAGATCCGCTGTGTGTGAGATTGTATACTCAATCATGTATAGCACATTAAATCCAGTAATCCTCACAGCACTAGTAAAGATGAATCGAGTATCAACCTGCAGTATTAAATTGTAAACCTTCCCAATTGTGCAAGGAAATGTAATACATGTAGTGTGTAAAGGCGATGTCCACAGCAACGTCTACACGTCTCATCTTGAATGGACTTTGTCAAGATTATGCTGTGTGTGGGGGAATGCCTCTAGTTATATAAGGAATTAATTGCACAATCCAGGTAAATAATTATTGTTCTAACAGTGTTTAGTGATACAAACTACTAAAGCAATTTTATGTGTAAAGTTATATAAGTTTGTGAGGAAGGCTGAACTTGATGGACGGAAGTCTCTTTTCAGCTATGTAACTATGTAATATTAAAAATAATACAATGTAACAAGTATCTTGATTGCAAGAAAGTCTATGATTTTTGTTTCAAATGCAATGTTGTTAAGCAGTGTATGATATTAAATTGTAATCACAAAACCTATCCAATTCCAAGATTTTACTATTAACATGATGTAAAGTCATGATTTTATTAATCACACAGAGGCGAGTACTATGCTTTCTCTTTCTTTAATATATTCCTCGGCAGCAAAGTTAGAAGTAACTTGAAAGAGCATATGAACAAAAAAAATCAAACATAACTAGCTCTGCCTAGTAACAGGGCAGCCAATCAGGATACAGGAACAGTCTATAAAGTGCCTTGAACTAGCCTCCAGCTTCCTCTTTCTTTGCCTTCAAGACCGAAGATCAGATAACTCGAAACCGTCAACATCAGGAAACAGTCGCCATAAAGGAAAACATCCCCAAATGAAAATCCAAACTCTGGATATATAGTAAATTCAATAGGAATACCATTGCCTATGCATATTTGAAAAAAATAAATAAAAAAAATATCACATTGTTATATATCACATAGTGATATCCCATAACATAAACCAAACAACCACTTGGAGAGACTTCAACCCTAACCAACTGTATAAGTTCTCAAACCCACCGGGTGGGCATGAATAATACTCGCCCCCGTGTCATTAATAAAATCATGACTTTACGTCATGTTAATAATAAAATCTTGGAATTTTATTAATGACATGGTGGCTCCTATTATGCTAGTTCAAAGCTGAGCCACAACCTGAGAAGAAAAATGGTCACTTGGACGGAAATAAAAATCATGGAAGGTCCATTCATGAGACCAATCCGCCGCTTTCAATATATCGTCCAAACAACTACCAATCCTAGAAGCTTTGGATGCCATGGCTCCCCTCACAGAATGAGCCGAGAATATCGAGGTATCAACTTGAAGATCCTTGACCCTGAGGCAATGAATCTCTTCCATTTTGAAATGCTGATAGCGGAGGAAGGCATTGAGGTGTCGGAGGTTTATAACCGGCCGAACCCTTTCATCTTTTTTGGCCACTAGGAACAAATTGCTCATGAATATTGGGGTGTCGTACGGGACTTCCTGGATCACCTGTTTTAAGTGAAGTTCTGAAATCTCCGCAGATAAAAGGTTGGCAGGGGAGGTTCTTGGGGGCCTTGGGCCTGGAAAGGGGAAGATACCAGATCGAAGGCGAAAACCCCTGACAGTATGCAACACCTACACATCTGTGGTGACCATGCCCTATGTTGTTACAAAACAAAGCTAATCAGGGTTGTCTGACTCTGTCTCCCCACTCTGGTTAGAATCTGAGCACGCCCGTTTCCAATTTCTGGCCAGTTTTACCCGGCCAGCAGCTCTTTTGCGCTGTGTTAATGTGCATCTTGGTCCACCATATGCAAGTCAGTCAGGGCAGGGACAACCTGCATCAATAAGAGAGGGGACGTATGTTTAAATTTGGCATGTTGTCATGATCTTGTGCAGTTCAGGGATGAGACTTAAACTGGGATTAATTGCAGGATCTTTATTAGATACCTTAGACATACTAGTAAACACAGGATATCCTATAATTGTAGTTATAGGAAATAGAATAGAAGATAAACCTATAAGAGAGATTATATGTTCTATATACAGGGTAAATAGGAAACAGAATTTAGGCAATATGCCCAAAGTTGCAATAAGGTAAACCTATAAAATAAGTTATAGGAAGTATAATAGAGGATAAACCTATAAGAGAGATTATAGGTTCTATATATAGGGAAAAAATGAAAACAGGATTTAGGCAATATGCCCCAGAACAGGATATAAGAAAACAACTAAATAGAACTAGACACAAATAATATAAATACTTAAATAGGTTTGTAGTTGTTCAGTCTCTTTGGTTAAGAGGTTATATAGTCGTAGGTCCTTTGTGATAGATGCAAAGTAGATTGGAACATAAATCAGAGGAAGTAGTTATTAGATATCCACAAAGTAAATGAAAGTCCAGTATTAATTTAACCCCTTAAGGACACATGACATGTGTGACATGTCATGATTCCCTTTTATACCAAGCGCCGAAGTAGAGCATGCTCCACCCCCCCGCAATAGCCGTTGAGCGCGGTTAGCGCATGTGGGCCAAACCCTCGCACCGCTGGGTGAGCCGTGTCGTTACGAGGAGTAGGCACCTACGGCGGTACATGATAGACACACCACAGTGCTGGTATGACAAGGCACTACCGGCCACAGAGGGAAAAGGAGGTGGGAAGAAAACCCATCCTGCCTAAAGTCGATAGCAACAACCCATGCTTACCTATCACAGCACAGGCAGGGCACACGGCCAACACAGAACAGGGCAGAAGGATACTGCCCAAAACAGTGCACACAATACCGTTAGATAATAAACACAGTAACCAAACACTAAAATCCATAAAGCCATGAAATATATATAGAAAATTATATTTAGCTGGTCTGAGGAGCAGCAAAGAAAGAGGAAGCTGGAGGCTAGTTCAAGGCACTTTATAGACTGTTCTGTTACTAGGCAGAGTTGGTTATGTTTGATTTTTTGTTCATATTCTCTTTCAAGTTACTTTTCTCTTTGCTGCTATTTATTTATTCTATTGTCATTAAATGAATTACATTAATTAACCATATAATCTATATAATATATTGACAGAGGCACAGGCTGTATTGGTAGGCTGGATAATTAAAGAACATAGGGTAATAGATACCCTATGTTCTCTCTCTCTCTCTCTCTCTCTCTCTCTCTCTCTCTCTCTATATATATATATATATATATATATATATATATATATATATATATATATAGAGAGAGAGAGAGAGAGAGAGAGATCTAAATATATAGAGTGAGATATTTAGAGGGGTTAATTTAATTAATATATTTTGCTTTATTTTAATATAGTTATAATAAACTCACATGTATAACTATATGGATAATCTGTAAATAGTAATGTAATGAAGTAATAGATTAAAACTAAAAACAACCCAAAATGATGCCCCCCCCCAAAAAAAGGAAAATAAATTAGGGAATAAAGTATATATTAAAACGTGGAAAAATTCATGATCTCATTTAGTCCTCCCTGAACTAAAGTGCCCAATCTATAGATCCATGTGGATTTAGTCTTAATTAATCTTCTGACTCAAGATTATTTATCCAATCCTTAAGGGATCCACTGTTATCCCATTAGTCTGAGTCCACTTACATTAGATTTGTGTTGCAGTCTAGAGTGACTGGCTATCCTGGTATTCATTTAGGAGTTCCCCACGAAGGCTCTGTGTTCCTTAAATCTATGTTTTACACATACTGTAACCGACAGGAAAATGTTAGAAGGTAGACTATAAATTAAGTATTACATGTTATCTTATATTATCCTCTTGGGTTTAGCGCCACTGACCTAAACAAACCAGGAAGCAACAGGACCTGTTATCAGATTCAAAGCCAGGAAGGTGTAACAAAGGTTAAAGAGGACACACAAGTCACACAAAAGGCATTTCAGCAAGATAAACTGCTTTAGTGCTTCTGAGTGTCCGTTTAAGATATATGTTTGCTCACAATGTCATTGGCTTTTACTCAGGGTCAAATGTACATATCAGGTACCTGTAGGCAATAATTCCTGTGTGCTCATAAACTCCCCAAACAATTTTTTTATTTTTTTTTAACACAACAGAAAACATTTCTCTATTGTTAGATCCATGATCTAGGAGAGGGATATACAACCTTCGGCACTCCAGATGTTTTGGACTATACCTCCCAAGATGCTTTGCCAGCATTATGGCTGTAAGAGCATTGTGGGAGATGTAGTCCACAGCATCTGGAGTGCCGAAGGTTGCCTACCCCTGATCTAGGAGATGAACAAGATAATTTAAAAGTATATATATCACTCTCTCTGCAAAGAAAAAAAAAGCAGATTGTTCTGAAATAAAGTGTACATTTATTATCAGAGTTGGTGCAATACGGTGGCACCCTTTGCTTATTGGCATTTCCAACCCTGTGTTTACTCAAAGAGGAAGTGTAGTGCATGGAACAGGTTCACCAGTGAGGATATTGGTGAGTGTGAGTCTCAATTGCAATGTCATCCATGATACAGATAATGATTTCCATCTAACTGAGGTCTATTGAAGGGTAAAACATCATGAAAACACACAATTTTAAAACGTCTCTGCGCTGTAAAAGATTCCACGGGGTCTTAACATTATTTTTGAGCCTTTCTTGCCTCTGGCTTCTTACAAGGTTTTTGCAATCAAAATTAGTATTTTGCAAAATAAAAACGAGTAACCTACATAGGAAGAGATCAGAGTTGCATGTTCATGGACATTGCGGAGTATTAAATAATGACTGGATATAATTACCATTTTTCATGAAAATAAGCATGTACACAATTTTTGTATGATGCATGCATTTTTACATTTAAACAAATTTCAAAGATATTACATACAATGAATGCTTAACATATTTTGATTTGTTTGACGAGGTATGGAAGATGACATCTTTTTTAATAAGATACATTTGTCTCACAAAGTATCACTCTTTTGATTGCATGGTTCACAATATTAGTTCATGTTTTAGGCTCTAGCACTCAAATTTCTGCAGAAATATTCTCCCTGAGCTGATCAAGAGTATGTGGTTTGTTCAGGTACACTCTATCTTTTAGATATCCTTACAGGATGTAAATGGGAGCTGAAAGGTAAAATAAACATGGTGGCAAATTAATTTCTTGAAATTATTCACTCACCGAACAGTTGTATTAGTTTTGAAAATAAAATTTCAGTATTTTTACTTGTTGTTCCTTCGTGAAATTACCCACAACAAATCTCCTAAGACTTAATTATAATATGTACCTGTAAAAAGATGTAACTACTAACAAATAGGTAACTTACCTGTCAAATCATCCTGTAAAGTTTTGCCCACCCTGTAAAACCTGGACTTGGTTGAAGCAGCCATCTGTAACTAAGCTGAATAGATGTAATAGAAAGAACCCATGTTCTTACAGGGTTTATTTGCAGCAAAATCTGAAATGATTATATTTTTTCACATCTGCACGGTGACACATCAAATGAACCTAAACTTTTAAAATCAAGCTCTATGAACAAGATTTTGACAGATTAATTGGACAGTGATTTTGCAGTCCTATGAAGCTCTCACACTAAAACCCAAGCACATTTCCAATCTTTATAATGTCTTACCTAATATAACATAGAGATTTTAATATTAATTGTGAGTAGCACAGTTGAGTTGTAAAAAGTTCACTGTCCACTTGCACTTGAAATTTTTTTTCTTTAGGATGTTTTTTATTTGACTTGATCACATACATTACCTTACAATTTATAGTATAATAAATAAAACATAATGAAAATAGATGCTTGCAATTTTTGAACAACCAATTTATAAGAATTTGATCTGGTTTGATCATTTTTACTTCCTATTCGTTTAATCATATTAAGACTTTGATTCAGCTACCTGTGTCAACCACTAAAGACACATTACTTACTTAGTAGTTTAATTAAAAATAGCCCATGATATTAACATAACGTAATGGTCTGAAAGGAAAAAAAAATAGCTTCAGGACTCTTAGCAAAGTGAGTCATGAATACAAAATTACCACATCATTCACTATTAAAGCATGTTTATTTAAGAGATTGCCAAAATGGAAAAAGAGACAGATGGATTTCTCATTTTGCTTGAAAATCACCTATATTACAATTTAAATGCATACTGTGTATAAGCATTAAGTCAGAGTATTTATATGTTTTACATATGCTACTTACAACGAAGACACAGATGTTCCTTTGTTTAAATGCTTTTAGTGTAAATATGCACAAAATTAAAGTTTATAAAAAATATTATTAAAACGTAATCAAAAAGTGAGTATAGGCTCAGTATTTGAACAGTTTTAGAATCCTGTAATAACTGTAGCATCCTGTAATTCTTTTTTTAGTGCATTTTGCTATATTTTGTAATTGTAACTCCAATGAGTTGCCCCCTTTGGAGGCATAAGGTAAACATTATTGTATTTTCCATATTTTATGATTTCTCTTCCTTTGGTTGCCCATATCCTTATTTATTTATATTTTTAATTGGTGGAAGGACGGTAAAATATTTCAAATGTTAGAAAAAGTAGATATATGAAATTTAAGATATTATGTAAGCTATGATTTTTTTTTTCTTTTTCTCATTTTATGACTCACCTATGCATGCCTGATTGATCTACTAGAAAATATTCAACCTTTTTTTTATTTTACATGATTCATGCCTGCATAATTATATATTGTGCATTCAGTGTTTTGGTGCTGCTTCTTTTTATTTAATTATGTTACCTGGCTTCCATTCTTTCCTTATTTTACAATTTAAAGCTCTTGGATCAAAAACGTCAATGTGCCAATAGGAGTGTAATGCTAATACATAGTTTTTTTTTTTTCATTTTTATCATTTACTCTGCTGGCCCATTATGAGTTTTATGGCTATAATAATAACAATTAAGGTTTAATATGAAGCTTCTAATTGTATATAATAAGGTGTAATGAATGACATGTTTAAAAAAATCATTTATCGGCTGTATGTCATGGAGACCCAAAAAGGAACAAGGCAAATGCAAATGCTCATCAGCAAACATAAACATGCTCAAATATGGAATCAAGCAGGAAATTCAAAACAACTTGTGCACCGTCTACTCTGTAATGTAGAAAAAAGAAAGAAATCCGAGCCAAAGGTTCTAAGGGGTACACTAGAAGCAGGGTGAGGGGGGGTAACCCTGAGAGAGAAACTAAACAAAATTAACAAAAAGAGAGTGTACCTCTAAGAGAAACTTTAGTCATAAAGTAAACATACGATACGTCACATCTTGTGAGGTGCAGAAAAGCATCCAGACTAAATTGGTAAAGTAAAAAAAGTAGAAAAATATATATAGAATTTTTTTTTTTTTTATTGAAAATAAACATCTATTTAAAACCCACAGGTATTGCTCAAAGTGCATCCAATTTAGTGCTAATACACTTGCTGCCTGACATACAGATGTGTTCACTGACAAAATAATGAATGTGGTTATAGGGGCACACTTATACTAGATGTAGCCTATGCAGAAATTGTGGATGGACAACTTCTTTCGATACTGATAACTGTTCAGCCACCTAGCTAAGATGGTCTGAACCTGACTTTAAGATGAGTAGTGTTGTTCACACCTTCTAGTGGCCTTATTAAGTTAATTGTCTATCTACCACATACCTGCAGAGACACACTATGAGTTTTGTACAGAAGCACTTTGAGCAATCCATGTGGGTTTTAAATAGATGTTTATTTTCAATAAAATGTATTTATTTTTTTCTATATATATTTTTCTACTTTTTCGAAACAATTTAGTCTGGATGCTTTTCGGCACCTCACGAGATGTGACGTGTCGTATGTTTACTTTATAACTAAAGTTTCCCTTAGAGGTATACTATCTTTTTGTTCATTTTGTTTTGTAGTGAAAGTATGCACATTCGTTATAGATTCCATAAATTATTCACTAAATAAAAGATTTTTACAGCTTTACCAGGTCCTGGTATTCATGTCCCTCATACTGTTTCATTAGTGGTGTCTACTGACATCTGAGTATCTTTTTTGTACAGCAATTAAACAATTGAAATGATAAACCTGAGCAAAAATAAAATGTTACAAAATGCAGTTAATTCTAATATACTACACACTAATGCTGGTATGAACAGGCAACAATGAGACATGCAGAGTTCAACTATGTGAAGTACTCCAGTTAAGAATTGTCTCGTGTTCAACAAAATTTTATCGACTTTACCTATCCAGCAAATATTTCCATTATTTCTATTATTTCCTATGAGTAAATATTAATTAAAGTTAGCCATGAGT